GACCCTGTATTTTCTGAGAAAGCCTCAGCCTCATTAAAAATGTGAATTATTATTATTATTTGAGTCGGGCCAGTGAGTTGGGAGAAAGTTTTTTTAAAGTCCAACTAGCAAGTCTGGTCCTGTTTTTTTCCTCTGGCCTGTAAGGGGCCAAGAGGTGCAAGAATTTCTCAAGTATCCAAACAAAAAACTTTTAAGGAAGTGAATTTTAGTTCCCACCAAGTTCGTCTTTCCTTTTGTTGCAAGAGCGCTGGGTTGCTCCAGAGGCAAACTCAGCTTCCCCCCCAATTTGGCAATTTCTCCATTTAAGGCTCCACTTAGACACTCCCATCTCCCTTAAAGAAATAAAACTATATTTCTTGGGGAGATCAAAATGGGAGAAAGAAAAAAAAATCATATTTGGTTACACCGAACCGACTTCTGTTTAACTGACTTTCTTTTGAAATGAAATTAAATCTGCATTTTTATTTTCCTCCTCCTGGCTCCTGTCATTTCTGGGCTGTTAATTCTCAGGAGCAGCGTACAAGTTTAATAATAATAAAAAAATGAAAATGAATTCTGTTGAAAAATAAAGAGGGAGAGGGCGAAGGAGGGAGGGAGGGAGGAAGGAAAGGGAGATAAGAAGAAAAGGGAGATAGGAAGGGAAGAAGGAAGGGAAGGAAGGAGAAAGGAAAGGAAGGAAAGAGGGAGGAAGTAAGGAGGGAGAAAGGAAAAGAAAGAGGGGGGAAGAAAGGGAGAGAAAGGAAAGGAGGAGAAAAGGAGGTAGAGAGGAAGGAAGGAGAAAGGAAAGGGTGGTAGAAAGGAAAGAAGGAAGGAAGGAGAAAGGAAATGAAAGGAAAGGAAGGAAAGAGGGAGGAAGTAAGGAGGGAGAAAGGAAAAGAAAGGGGGAAGAAAGGAAGGAAAGGGAGATAAGAAGAAAAGGGAGATAGGAAGGAAAGAAGGAAGGGAAGGAAGGAAGGAGAAAGGAAAGGAAAGGAAAGGAAGGAAAGAGGGAGGAATTAAGGAGGGAGAAAGGAAAAGAAAGTGGGGGAAGAAAGGAAGGAAAGGGAGATAGGAAGAAAAGGGAGATACGAAGGAAAGAAAGAAGGGAAGGAAGGAAGGAGAAAGGAAAGGAAAGGAAAGGAAGGAAAGAGGGAGGGAGAAAGGAGGGAGAAAGAAAAGAAAGTGGGGGAAGAAAGGGAGAGAAAGGAAAGGAAGAGAAAAGGAGGTAGAGAGGAAGGAAGGAGAAAGGAAAGGGTGGTAGAATGGAAAGAAGGAAGGAAGGAGAAAGGAAAGGAAATGAAAGGAAGGAAAGAGGGAGGAAGTAAGGAGGGAGAAAGGAAAAGAAAGGGGGAAGAAAGGAAGGAAAGGGAGATAGAAAGGAAAGGAAAGGAGGGAAGGAGATAGAGAGGAAGGAAGGAGAAAGGAAAGGGTGATAGAAAGGAAAGAAGGAAGGAAAGAAAAAGGAAAGGCTAAAACTACAATAACGGAAAAAAAACCAGTGGAAAAATAATGGGAACGATGTAAATAAACAAACTTTGAATATTCTTGGCAGCAGTTACACCACCAAAGATCCTTTAAGCTCTTTCCTTTTTCTTTNTACCTGTGGCAATCCATCCCAACTACATTTCCCCCCCCCACACACACACCCCACCCCGTTTCCCCTCGCTCGGCCTCAGGGTTAAGGATTCAAAAGGAGACACCTCAAGGAATTGGGGGAGCAATTCTGCAAAAGAAAAAACATTGCACGCCCCGGGATGGAAAGAAAGTTGAGAAAGAAACTCGAGGCAGCTCCGCCTTGATCTTCCTTCGTATAAAATAGAACGGGGGAAATTTTTAAAAAATGTAGTGCCCGAATCAGAACGGGCATGCGTGTGTGTGTGTGTGTGTGTGTAGAGGCGTGCGCCCAAGTGCCGGGAGAGCAACTGGTCGGGGTGCATGCGTGTGCCAGGCAGCTGTTCTTCGGGTTTCCGGCACACGCATCCCTGTTTTTGGGCCGTTTTCGGCCCCCCAAAATGGCCTGAATAACAGCACGAAACGGCCTGAAAACAGCCTGAAAAAATGGCCCGAAAACACCCTGTTTCTTGGCCATTTTTCCTGCCATTTTCAAGCCATTTTTTTGGCTGTTTTCAGGTTGTTTTGGGGCCAAAATACACTCTGAAAAACGGCCCGAAAAACGGCATGAAAATAGCCCAAAAGCAGCACGAAAAACGGCCTGAAACCACCTCAAAAATGGTCCAGAAACGCTCTGTTTTTTGGTCGTTTTTGGCAACTTTGGGGCAGTTTTCAGGCACTCGCGAAGAGCCGCTTAACGACCGTCGCAATTTGCAAACCAGACGTGCCTCGATGAAACCCCCCCTGGAAGGTGTCCACTCCGAGATTGCAGGATGCGGACACTCACTGGAAGATGGTGTTGGTGTCGAGGTCCACGCACATGACGTCATGCGGCAGGTCGTAGAGGTCGAAGTAGCTGGAGTGGAGGCCCACGATGAAGGGCACCGGGGCGCACAGCACGTCTGCCAAGGTGAGGGGGCAGAGAGGGATGTAGGGGCACTGCCAGCGCAAGGGGAAAATCATCTGGAGGAAGAAACACAGCTGGCATGTAACATTTTCAGGCAGGGATGTCCAGTCAGGACAATTGCTAAGCCTTGAGGACTTCAACTCCCAGAATCCCGCAGGAAG